ACAAACTCTATTACTCCTTATATAGGACTTGTCTTTTTATCTACTATTGCTAAGAGGGTAAATAAGATTATATAACGTAGTAGGTTTTGTTCTTATATAAGCTTATTATACACAACTAAATATATATAACACCTAGTTATAGTTAAGCATTATAATAGCATTCCTTACACTATTTATAACTATATTTATAGACATTACTTTTATAGGCTTTAATAGTTTAAGTATCCTATGTAGTGCTTATACAACATCTCTTTCCTGCTTTATTTACTCTAACTAGCGCTTTTTAGTTAGAGCTTTTCTTTTCCCTTATCTCAGTCATCCTCTATAAGTACTATAGTAGCTACCTTAGTATAGTTTCCTTATTTATGCGTATAAGTAGTAAGAGGAGCGTTGTAGTCTTTATAATAGTGTCCTTATCTACTATAGCAAAGATAACGTCTCTTTTAATAGTGTAAGGGGCTGCGCTCCGTGGAGCAAACGCTTGGGTATACAAGGATTGTATTCGATAGAGAGCTATCTACTCTGCCTCGCGCAGTGTTTATTTACTTGTCAGAGAAAGGTTATGCTAAGTGCTTGTGCGCGTTGTCTGAGCGCTGCTTGGGCGACACGCAGATGCTGGGTTATAAGGGTACAACCTGGCGTTTGTTATCTGAGCGCTGCTTAGGCAACAACACCGAGATTCCATCAAGGAGCTATCTGAAGGGCGCTCAGCCCGTTACAATACCCCCTCCTTTGGCTGGAGTCGCACCGTCTCTTCGGAACCCTTCTAGGAGGCGGCCTTTACTGTCCCGTTTCGTCTCTGTAAAGGCCTCCTATCGGTCTACTGCTTCCGCGTCTACTAGCAGGTCTGCTAGTTCGAGCGTTGTTTGGTGGAAGCCTCTCCATTTTACCTCGTAGTATAGCTTACGCCCCCTTCCGCGGCGGCGTACCTCTTCTGCTACAATGTCCTCTACCTCCCATTCGTCTTCTCCGTCCACCTGCAGTGGCTGCGGCTGCTCGTCGTCTTGGGCTTGGCTTGGCAGTGGGTCGTTGCTGGCGAGTTTCAACCTGTCCACATGGAATACTGGGTGAGGGCCAGGCGGGGTATCCAGCTGAACCGAATGGCTATCGACTACTCTAATCATAGTATACTTGGCGTTCTTCTAATCAAGCTTCTTAGAGCTCCGCCCTGTACTGTACTGCTAGTCAAGTTTTAGCCAAACTTTGTCCCCTACTCGAAGGCTCTATGCTTCCCTCCAAGTCTTGTTCGCCTGCCTCTCTTGTTCCTGTTGTGCCTCTGCCATAGCAGCCTAGGCCAACTCTGTGACCTGCCGGAGCTTTAAGGCTATCTCTTGCGCCTTCTGTACGTCTGAGAGCCTTTCGGCTGGGTTTAGCCGTCTTAAGCTTTCTCCTAGCTCAATCTGCAGTGGGTTTACCTCGTGGCCATGCTGTAAGAAGAACGGTGATACGCCTGTCGACGTGGCGGCTCGCCCGTTGATTGCAATCTGGGCCATAGGGCATAGCAGCGCCCAGTCGTTCTGAGCCCAGTTCGTGAAGGATCGGATGTAGGTTTCCTATACACTGTTCATCCTCTCTATTGCGCCGTCCGTCTGCGGGTGGTAGGCCGTCAACAATCTCTAGTTAATCTTCAGAAGCTCGCAGAGCTTCGCCCATAGAGTACTTACAAATTAGCTGCCACAATCTAACGTGATCGCGTCAGGCAGCCAGTGGTATGCAACCACTCTTTTGATGAACTTTCAAACAACTGTTTCCGTCTAGGTGTTTGGGAGCGGCACAAAGATAGTGCCTTTATTTAACCTATCTGTAATCACTATAAGGCTCGTCATGCCTTCGCTTTCTAGTAGTCCTTCTACAAAGTCCATTAAGATCTCCTTCCAAATCTAAGCAGGAATTAGGAGAGGCTTAAGGAGTCCTTGTTTGCCCTCCCTCCACGATTTGCTTCTCCCGCAGGTATCGCAGTTTCTGACGTATCTTCGGATTGTCTGCGTCATGCCTGGCCAGAAGTAGTCTCTCGCGAGTATCTTGTACGTTACCTCGCGTCCTAGGTGGCCTGTTGCTAAGGAGTCGTGTGCGCCGCTAACAATCTAGGTCCGTAGTCTCTCACTGTCGGGCACCCATCTGCGTCCTTGGTATAGTAGTAGGTTATCCGCTACTAAATAGTCTTCAGTCGAGCACTTTAGACTAAGGCTTAGTGGGAACCTCCTTCCCCGCTCTTCAATAGTCTTCTTGGCGCCTTGGTAGACTCTATCCTGCTGTGCTGCGTCCTGCCAGAGCTTCTCTAGCTCGTTCTACTCTACTGTCACTTGTTCGGTAGACGGTTCCCCCAAATTCTACTTGGCAGTGGAGCGGGTGCGTATCCTTGCGGCAAATACTATCCTAGCCCCTACCAAGTCCTCTTTAGACAACTCCTCACAGTAGGAGTTCGTAGGCTTAAGTATTTAGACGAAACGCTTCTGTAACCGTTCGTCGTCCATTCCTGCAGGCATGTCCTGCTCTTGTTGTGAGAGCGCGTCTGCTCTTACGTTCTGTTTTCCTGGCCGGTACAGCAGTTCCATATTGTACCAACCTAGGAGCAACGACCACCTCATCTAACGCTCGTTTAGCATCCTTAGTTTTATGAAGTATTCTAGGTTCTTGTGGTCTATTATTACTTTAAACCTCTTAACTAAACGTAGTTTAGAATCCTATTCTTCTAGGCAACATACAACGGCTAGCAACTCCTTATTATAGATTTTATAGTTGCACTTATAAGCGTTGTTCTTTTATAAGAAGTATGCGCATAGTTACAGATCTCCTTTGTCGTTGTATTAAGATAGGATTCTAGAAACGGCGTAGCTAGACGAATCGCTTTTAAGTATTATCTTGCGTTCTAGGTCAAAGGCTGCTAGCGTGGGTTTAGAAATAAAAATCTTCTTTAGCTTATCAAACGCCAATTGTTCCTTAGAGCCCTAGCGGAACAGTACGTCGCCTGTGAGTCTTGTAAGTGGTGCGGCTAGCTATAAGAAGTTTCTAATAAACCTTTAGTAGAAGTTTGCAAACCCTAGGAATAACTAGACACCTTTTACAGTCTTAGGAGCTTCCCATTCGCGGATTGCCGCGACCTTGTCTAGATCTATACTAATTCCTTTGCCTGCTTTAATAATAAACCCTAGGTACTTAGTCAACTTAGTCTTAAATTCGCATTTCTTAATATTAACTTATAGCCCTACATCTTGCAGCTTTCTAAGCACCTTTTAGACGTGCTCTCTATACTGCTTTAGGTTACTATCCATGTAAATTAGTACGTTATCTAAGTACGCTAAACAGAACTCGTCTAAAAATTCCCGCAGGGTCTAGTTAATATACTATTAGAAGGTGCTAGGCGAGTTAGCTATGCTAAAGGGGGTAACTAGCTATTTAAACAGCCTGAATCGTGTTTAGAACGCTGTTTTCCACTTATCGCCTTCTGCCACACAGATCTTGTAGAACGCTGCGATTACATCTAACTTTGTAAACTATTTTGCCTTGCTTAAGTTGTTAAGCGTCTCTTAGATTAGCAAGAGGGGGTACTAGTCCTTCTTCGTAATTGCGTTTAACGCACAGTAGTTAATACATAATTAGAGCCCCCCTCCTAGCTTCTTAGCGAATAATACTAGTGCTAATACAGAAGAACTACTTACGCGTATAAATCCTTTATTAAGCAACAACGTAAGCTCCTTTTAGAGGACTAGTAGTTCGCCGCAGGACATGCTATATAGCAGTCCCTATAGCGGCTGACTATCCTTTAGTTCTAGTTTAATCCTATAGTTAACACCTAGTCCTTAATGTGGTGGGAGTTTCTCTGCCTTCTTTAGGTCAAAGAGGTCGTAATACTTCTAGTACTGCTTTAGTAACAGTGCTCTTACGTCTACCTGTTTCTTAGGCTATAAGGCCTTGTTAATGTCCGCAATTAATGCAGCGAAAATCTAAACGCTGTTTAGGGCCCTCCTATGCCTGTAGAGGAGTGCTACAAACTCTGCTGCATTAATCTAACGGATCCCTTGCTAAGGGACCCCTTCTATTAATCTTACTCGAACGCTAGTCGAGTGGATGAATAGGCTCTTCTTTGCTAGCGCAACGGTGACGTCGTTGCGGTTCATCCAGCCTCTGCCTAGAAGGACGTCCTCCGTCGAGGACAGGTCCATCACGTACGCATAGGCATTCTCCTTATATCCGTGCAATCTAAACGAGAATTAGGCGACCTCGCTAATCTAGGACAACTTTCTATTAACTCCTTTAATTATCTAAGTAGGAATCTAAAAACGCTCTAGATAGTAGCAGTAAGCGAACCTCTTATTAATTAGCGCGTAACATAGGCAACCACTATTAATTTATGCGACAGCGTTTACTACGTTGTCTACAATTAAATCTACTATAATTAGTGGTAACGTAGTTCACAAGCGAGTCGCTCACCCAAGCGAGTCGCTCACGCCCCACCAGCGCGTCGACGTCGAGACGTTATCACGCACTTTTATCACAGTCAATAAACTATTACAATATACTAAATTAATTATTAAAATCGCTACTATTACTTGCACTATCTATATCAACTGCGCAGGTACGAGCGTTATGTCCAGTCTGCTTACAACGCCCGCACCGCCTCTCTCCTCGCACCCTCTTCGACGCACTCTCACCGTCGCCACGACTACTACCCGCCTGTTCAGCTAATACTTCTTGTACCTCGCCTACAGTAAGAGTCTCTTCTGTCCGTACGTATCGCCGCTTGCGGCTTTTACGCTTGTTTAATTCGTCTAGAGTCTCTTAAAGGGTGGTTATTTTCTCTGTCAAAAGTACCATCTTATGTGCCATCTGCTAAGCCCCCTTACTTAACTGCGCGATCTGCTTAGTAAGTGAATTAGCAGAAGACCTATGGCGCTTTCTCACGCTCTATTGAATAAGACTAGTTTGAGCCTTGACTTCGCGCGCGTTACGTGGTGTGTGCGCCTCCTAGGCGGCTACCCGTCGCGGTGATTGATGTGGTGTCTGCACCACTACATCAAGCTTTAATAGCACAGCCTGTGGGTCGTGTGGGACTAAACTAGCGCCTCTAAAGCCAGCTTGGATATTCTCCTTCGTAATAGACTGCTTAAAAGCAGCCTTAAAGGCTGGCAGGAAGGTCTCCTTACTGATATAGCTGGTGCGGTTGCGTGCCAAGCCTGAGATCGAGTCGCCATACTTGCGCTTCAACGGCGAGAAGCAGGCGACATCAAGGGGCTGCAATAGGTGAGACGAGTGCGCAGGCATGCAGAGAAGAATGATATTCTTCTCCTTGCAAAGATCTTGAAAATCGACGGAGCAGTGGCTCTCATGGCCGTCGATAATGAGCAGTCAATACCTACCCACAGTCTGCCTCTTTGTATAGGTATCAAAGTGCTCTAACCACGCAAAAGCAAGCTGATTATTCGTCCAGCCATTAGGACTAACTTCAAGAACCTAGTTAGTAGGCAGGTCTTTAAACTAGACGTCGATAAGCACCTTGCCTGCAAAGATAACGAAGGGGGGTAGCCAGCGACCTAACGCGCCCACGCCTTGGATCACAGTAACCCACTCACGGTTACCTAGCTAGATCTGCTTCTTTTTGCTATATCCCTTTAAGCCTGTGATAACTAACTGTGATAAAATCTTGCCTATTATAAAGCTAGTTTCGTTAAAGTTGTGAATATTGTTGTCTATAATACCCTACTTCTGCTTTGTCGCTTGAACTAAGTCAAACTAGCGCTGGATAGCCGCTAGGTCCTCGCAGGTAGCTTGCTAGTGATCGTAGGGACGGCTCTAGCGCGTGCGGAGCTTAGGAGTCCTCTTAACAAAGTTATTAATCTAGTTCTTGCTAATAGGGTTGCTCCTACGCTTATGTAGTAGTTTATTAGCTATTGCTTAAACGTTAGGCTTTGTAGGCGCAAATCCTCGCGTAGACTCCTTAAGAATACGCTTAACTATAGCCTCCTCTTTTAGCTTATTTAGGCGCTTTGAATTCGCTTCGCAGTCGCGTTGAGAGCGCTTTCTAGCGCGTTAGTTAGATAGGGTTCTTTGAGGCACGTTATAGATAGAAGCAGCACGTCTTTAGCTTTAAACATGTTGCGATTAGATATTAAAAAGAGCAAGCTAAAGATCTAATTTAGGATAGGCTAATAAATGTTGACGTTGTTGAGACATGACGTGTTGCAGTCTCGACGTCGACGCGCTGGTGGGGCGTGAGCGACTCGCTTGGGTGAGCGACTCGCTTGTGAAACTAGCCCCACCACAAAGTGCGCGCGACCACAAAGTGCGCGCGCGGCCTCACCAAAACTACCTTAAAAACGAGGCTATAGAGCCACACTAAATAGATATTATCACGATATATTTTGGTGGTGAGATCAATAGGCTTTAATATATATATACAGCTATAGAAATCGAGACGGAGTTCTAATCGCGCGGCCGCGACGCGAGGTTGGAGGTGGTGAGCTTGCAGCACCTCCCTGAGGCTCCTCACCACCTTGAGGCCTCGCGATAGGCTTCTTTTTTTGAGTAGCCTTTGCAGGAGCCATGAAGCTCCTTCTCCTACCCCTTTGAGAAGTTTTTAATAGCTTTTTGAAGTTGTTTTGCAGCCTTGCGAGCCGCGATCCTTGAGGCCTTTTC